CCTACACATACTCATTCACTTTACATACTATCAAGCTGACAAGACAAGCCTATCCCATCCAATATGATCCCGTCTACTATCAACAAGAGATTATGAGTGATCAGTTCCTCAATTTGTCAATAGGTAGCCGACAACCATAATGGTGACACACACCATTGTTACCCAACTATAATAGCATCATTCATCTGTGCTCAAAGTCACCTAAGCATAATGTCCAGCAATCTATCTAAGGCTTATAATGTTTTTCTCAATTTCCTTCTTTCTCAGGTTCCAGACTATAATTGTCTTAGCCAAAAAGTTGTTGTAAACATCAGCTCAAATATGTACTATTGCAATCAACAGAACACCGAACCAACACTCCACAGCTAAAATAACTCAGAGAAGCAAAAACTTATCCCACACTTGTCTCAAACTTAATCCTGCAAACGGTCGGTTAGAAGAAAACAAACAAGTACCGATAGTGTTTCACACACATATTGAATACAACAAGGAATAAATACATTAACAACCTGGCCAACTAACTGATCATGCTCTGATATCAACTAATGTAACACCCCCTCAATTCTCCGTGCAAATAACAGCATAATCAGAGTAAATTTAAAACATGCATATCCAAATAGGGTTCCACATCATTGTGAAATAACAAACAAATTCTAGCCATGCTCATTACACACATTTAAATCCATGTTTCATACTATAACACATATGCATATCACATCGGAATAATTTTATTTTCTCAAATGATAATAATTGATTGAAATCTCATACTGACAATCATATCATAACCAATAGGCACTAAAGGCCAATCATCAAATAATCTCAAATATGTCATAATAATCAGAGAGTATAACAAGTATCTCTCAAAATCAACAAGAATAAAAAAATAACATAAATCCAAATGTTTCTCGTGTTACACAATCTACAACATGACTTGCTACCTAACAAAGGATGAAAAACAAGAAAAACGTCTTCCAACTAATCCTGGCAAGAAGCATCTCTATCTCCGGTACCCGAGCGTTGTCGTATAAAACACCATTCCAATAAAAGGGTGAAAGTTCATATCATTATGAAAATATATAATCATAAGCAATGTAATACATACATACACCAATATGAATTCATCACTCTTTATTAAACCATGTTTTAGGCATAACATAACCCAATATACTAATCCACATATACAACATAGCTCATTATTTCATATTCCAAATGAAATTCAATTCCAATTACCACATTGTACAATTAAATCAATTATCGCATGTTACACATCAAAACACCACATTCACACTAATATTACATAATGAGTGATAATGCAACAATTCACATCGACATATGTGAGTCCAATACAACTCAAATGAATTATGCATGTGGTACCAATGTTATCTTTACCGGTCATGTCGGGTCCACATCTCCAAGCCATATAACCACCAATAAAAGTTTGATTCAGCCTTAAGCTTTCAAACCCCATTCGGCGTTAGGTTTGGGACAAGTCAAGTTCTCATGGAATTACCAAACATTGACTCTTGACACAAATGATGCATGTACATGTGCAATCTCAACAACTCATCACATAATTCATCACATTTTAAATTATCATCACATTATTGCACAACATACATCTTTCGTGCCAATCAATTACATATATATGATCTCATAGTATAAATCATCTCAACACATCATTATAAAATGTAGAAATTAGATACCAATCATACTATATTCAAATATCATCAAATTCCAACACTTACATAAACAATTCAAGTGTTAAGTTTCTCAGCAAAATGTTTCCAAAACCAATCTAAAACTCATTAATAAATTATTAAAATTCATGTAAATCCATGATAAATCATAACATACAAGATCCCAATTTCATTCATGCATAAAATAATTTTTGTGTCCAGCTACCCGCGCTAAGCGACCTTACTGGCGCTAAGCGCCCCATGCGAAAACCAGAAAAATCTGCTGTGAACAGCTACTGACTTGTGTAGGAAAATCACCATAGAGGCATGTTCTAATGCCCATTTTTCATTAAAAACATATTCTAACATGTATACATCATATGGAGCCTATTTATATCATAAAAACTAGATTTCAAAAACCTAATTTCCAAACCCCTAAATCAATTTGGGTGATTCAAAACCTAAAAATTCACATACTCAATCCTATTACATATTACTACCCATCATATATTCCCATAATAACATAGATTCTCACACTTACCTTGAGTGTAGAGTCTTTACGGTTGGCTCTTCACTTTTCCTCTTTTCTCCTCTTTCTCCTCTTCTCTTCTCTTCTTTGTTTTTGTTTTATGACAACACTAATTATAATCCCTCTTCTCACTACTCTATTTCATTAATGGGCCTAATTCCACTCACCCATTCTATTATGACATAAATCCCAATTCTAATTATTTTATATTCTTACTCGTAAATCCAATTATTCAAATAATACATATATTCAAACAATTCAAATATTAGTTAAATCAAACCATTAAATTAATTACTATATAATATACTAATTAATAAAATAATTAAATAATACTAAATAAAAATTGGGATGTTATAGGGAATGCCATGTTTTGCGAATATTATGTTCTTTTGATGTTGACATAATTTTTGTGACAGTTTTGATTATTAAACCAATTTAAATTCCAACTTTTGATTGAGTCTATGATGCTATGAGTTTTATTTTATAAAGGAGTTTATTTATGACAATAAGATGATATTATTATTGATGTAACCCGAGTTACGGAGCAGAAGTTGTTAACATGGTGTTTTCTATAAAGTATGACACCCTTGAGTGGTGATTTTATTTGATTTAATACATAAGTTATATGAATATTACATGTGGGGTTAGTAGGGTTTTACAGAATGAGCTACCAAAAAGAAGATGCATTAGCATGAGAGGGATCTTGAGGTTGTGCAGGGAAGGGACTGGATGATTGGGGGAAGGCTTATAAGGATTGATTGGTACTACTTATACCAACAAGATGCATATTATTTTCAGTAGCTCGTTTCGTAAGAACTCCACAATTAAGCGTGCTTGACTTGGAGCAATTTTTGGATGGGTGACCTTCTGGGAAGTTTTCCATAAAGCGTGTGAGTAAGGACAAATTGAAAAGACCCGTTTTGGTTTGTGGGGCTAATTGATAATCCTGAAGGCAGTCTTAGGTGGTACATTTGCCGTGACTCAATGATACAACCCTAATTTTGATTTTATGTTTATGTGTATATGTTCCATTTTGTTTTTTCTACAGAGCTGGTGTATATATGAGTATGCTTTTGTGAGTGAAATTCGAGTTGGCTTGCTGAGTTTGTTTGTTTTTTCATGTGCAAACTAGTTTGGTACCTAAGATGTTTTGGCATGAAACTTGATGAAGAATTCAATATTAGTGAGGATGGAGTCTTCATGGAACATAAAGAGAATCATAAAATTGCATGAAGGCTTTATTGAAGATGGAGCAAAGGAAAAGTTGAAGGTTTGGATAGATGAAATCTATGTTGATGAAGACGGAAGCATGAAAGTGAATTACCATTAGGAATAGGTTTATGTTTTTTTTTGTGATTTTATATCTAATGTCTTCATATAATTATAAGTGTAGTTGTAAAGATGATGATGTGGTAGTGATGTTTACTTTATGAGCTCTTTGCTCTGAATCCAATGAAGAGCTTCAATTCTCAAACAATTCCATTTCAATCTGCATTTTCTTTCTCTTAATTTTGAAAATGATGATGTGATGATAATTCATTTTCTTTCTCTGCATTTTCCTATATACTCAAGAGACTTCTTTGAAATGTTCTCCCTTTTGCCTTTTCTCAATCCTTGCCTTTGAATTGTGCCTTTGAACCAATCAAGTCTTAAGCTTGTATCAAAACCCTAGTTGAATGAATTATCATAGAAGAATGAATCTTATGTCACAAGCAAAGTCTTTAGCTGACATGTATTGCGCCTATAAACTCTAATTGAAAACGTAGATCTACATATACTTCTTTTTGTATTATGACCATTTGACTTGGAGTTCAAGCAAACATTTGATTTGGAGTTTATTACTTTATAGCTTTTTTTACTAGATTAGAGGAAAAATAATCAATGAGAGAGTTGGAAGAGGAAGTGTTTTTACCCAAATTTTCCTAAGTTCAATTCAATTTGTTCTAATATTATACTTAATCAAAATATTTAAAGCCTAAATTTTGATTTTTTTTTTTTGGAGAATTTTGATCCAAACAGATTCCTTAAAAAAGAGAAAGAAAATGGAAGAGAATAGAAAGAAAAAAAAAAGAAAAAAAACTTGTGTGTGAAAAGGAACCCTATAAAATATAATATCTAAGGGCTTATAATCATGGTCCAGGGTGAATCACTTAAATGGTGGTTCACCCTAGATGCTACCTCGATTAATTAGGCTAATTAGAAATTAACTATCAAGATTAATTGATAAAAATTAATTCCATCAAATAATCGAGTTAATTTAATTAACAAAACTAATTAACTACAACTAAAATTAATCCATTAATAAAAATGATGTTTATTGAAAATGATTTATTTAATGAAAAAAATAAAAAATGAAAATAGAAATTGAGGTGTGAAATTTAAATATGAGCTGCAAATAGAATTGAGTGAGGCCCAAAGAATAAAGGAAGACCCAACTTGGAGAAAGTCAAAACTGAATTTCAAAGGGCTAAGTGGCAGCGCTGGATATCTTCCCTAATCAAACAAAATATGGAGATCCAAGGGTTAAGAACTTGCCACGTGGTAAAGGGAAAAAATTTAGAAAAAAAAGAAAAGAAAAAAGAAAAAGAACATGTGATTAATTTTCTCTTCCCCTTCTCTCTCATCGACCTTGCTACTTTTCCCTCTCTCGACCGGTTTACAGACAAAACACCACCGCCTTCGCCATTAACGTTCTTTCAAAAACTCAACCAAAATGACAAATGAAGATATCACTTGGTTCAATTTTCTCTCCTCGACACCACCCTAAATGTTCAAAGTTAAATTAAATAGTGTTCATGCACATATTCACACAATTGGCAAGAGGTTATTCATCAACACAACATGAAGAACACAACGGTAACAAGAAAATCGAGAAAAGGAGAAACACTCATAGAACCAGAGCTAGTCTTCTGGATTCCAACTCCGGAGAGGGGCTAAATCCAATTATGCTTCAATTCTTTCTTTTTCCCTTCTGTTTTCATCTCTTTTTTTCTCCTTCCTTCTTCTGGACTGGAAGTTGGTTGTTGGTTATTGAATTTTTCTGTGTGCATGTGGATGTTGATGAAGCTCAAAACGAGTTAGAGCTTCAATTTGAAGCTCTAATGGTTTATTGAGAGAGCTTTGCAGTGAAGTATTTTGGAGAAATATTTATGGAAATTTATGTAGCGTTTTGGATCATCTTTCTTCCTTCATGAGAGCTTCGATTGAGGACTGGTTTATAGTCAGAGATGGATGAAAATTGAGGGAATTTTGAGGGGGAAAAGAGAGTGAAAATGAGGGAAAGTTTATTGATATGGGGGAAAATTGTTGATTTATGTGACTCTTTTTGATCCTTGTGAAGAAAGATTTGTAGCCCTTGATTAATGAGTTGAGATGAAATTAAGATGTAATTCAGTTTGAAAGTTGATGCAAATGAGTGTTTGTTATGAAATTCGGGTTTGAAATGTAATACAATGTAAATGAAATTTGAAATTGAAATTGAAATTTGGTTTTGTATTGAAGTGAATTTGAAATGTAATACAAGTGAAATTGTTTGTTTGTTTTAAAATTAAAATGCATTTGAATTGTTACTTATGCAAAAAGTGACTTTGGTGTGTGAAGTGTGGTCTCATGTTGAAACTTGGCTTGGATTGATAAATTGGCTTAGAAAGTCTCTCACATTGCTTGAAAATATTGGCTTGGCAATGGCTTGTAACTTGACCTAAAAAAATGACTTAGAAACATGGTTTGAAAATATAGTTTAAGCTTGAAAATTGACATGGAAATTGGCTTTAACAAAACAACTTGAAAATTGGCTTGACAAACACCTTACCATTTTAATTTGAATTTAAAAATTAGTTTTAAATTCAATTAAAATTAAATATGGTTTCAGAATAGTTTGAACTAAATCAAAGAAAATCAAGTTGATCTTGAACTTTATTCTAAGTTGACTTTGACCTTTGACTGCAATTTTTGACTTTGGAAATGACCTTGAAAAAATGGAAGGATGCATGATAAATTGACTAAAGAATTATGAGGACTAAAAGTTAACATGGTTGATTTTTTTATTTATTTTGACTTTTCAAAAATAAAACTATGCATGTGATGAATGTACGAAATATGCAAGAAGAAAAAATGGGGTATGATAGAATGGAGCAGAGATCCTAATTATGCATCAGTTGCTACAGTTGTTGAGGATACCCAGGCAACAACTAAGGATGTAAAGGGTCACGATGACAAGCAGATGGTGGTTGAGACAGAAGTGCCCCATTATTTTGTGACTGAGGCTCTAAATGATATAAAGGTTACTCTTCAAGAGGATACATAGGCGTTTGCTCCTCTGATTGGTAAAGAGATTATTGCTCTGGTTTTAACAGAGTTGTTTGTACACATGGATATTGGGTTCTTGGAGGGCCCAATGATCATTTTGTGCTCACTAGATTTGTCAATCATATGACATTCAAATTATGGCAGGGAGAGGTTTATATATATTATGTTGAAATTGTTTTTATTTATTACTGATACATTTAAATTGTGTGACCGCCACTGAGGTTTCCCACCCACGAGGGGAAGATGAAAAAGTTCTTAGATTCCCTGATGCCTGAGGAGTTCAGGGCAATTGTTGATTATTGCGGTCTTGTCATACCATAAAATTTTCCCTCCCCTTCATTTTTACCTGGCTTATGCCATTAAATTTATCTGCATACATGGCCATCGATTCACTCAATTAGGTCATGCATTTAACATACTATTTTGCATAATGCATCAATGGGTCAAAAGTTCGGTAATGATGGATTTAATCGGTTTGAGTTGATTTTTATAGCACGGATATTATTCGAGTTTATTTCTCGTATGTCTTGTGGGGCGGACCATCTCTTTATTTAAGATTCTTGGTTGTCATAATTGGAATGGACATGACTTGATTCGGAAGATTGCTTGAATTTAAAGAAGAAAGTCAAAGTTGGAAATTCAAAGAATACTTCATCCGTTTGTGAAAATTCAAGGTAAAATACTCTTACTTGAGATACAAGTTGAAAGAATGGATTACAAGGAAATAGGATAAAAAATTACACCAATTTGGTAAAGTTGACTTTTTGGTCAAATGGTTGAATTTTTGGTCAAGTGTTGAGTTTTGGTCAACTTTTGACCATTGAATCGATTTTGACTTCTGAATTTTCCTAGACCTATCCTATAAGCATTTGATCAAAAGAATAATCATTTTTCAACAAAAATCAAGAAGTTCATGATTATGTTACTAGCGTAAAGTTCCAACAATTTCATCTTCCACGAGGCTTCATTTCCATGGCTTTATCTTCACTTTTCAATGACGCCTCAAGTTCATTCTTCCACCACAATGCTCACTTTACTGCAAGGAAGAAGATACACCAAATTAATCATTAATATCATGGAATAAAATAATCCAAAAATCATGGAAAATTCATGAGAAATATTCGGCATTGCATAGAAAATTCTGCACTATGCTGGTAAGTGAAATCAATGAGTTTCAATCCAATTTAAGTTTGATTCCATGACAAAAAAAATCAGAAGTTGGGTCATGATTCGACCATAAAAAAACCACTTTTCAACATGTAAAAGCATTTTTCAAAGCCTTTAATTATTCAATTTTCAGTCATGGATTCAAAGTAAAAAATGATCAAAAAACCAAAGCAAAAGCATTCAAATTCAAGCAAGTTTCATTCATTTCACTAATAACTCTTTGCCTTAAATTCCAACTTGGTACTTTTACAAAAATCAAACATAAATGGTCTCTAACTATCCTTAACTATCTATTTCTACACAAACCCATTCATTTACCTAATTACCCCTAACTACCAAACTAACACAAATTTCAACTTCCATTTTTAATCAAATTTCATTTAATCCTAACCGTTCTTAACCATTAATCCAAGGGCTAGAATTAATAAACTTCTTACTTGGGTCACAATCCAATGATCCAAAATCAACCACAAAACCTATATAAAGTTTCATTCTTTTGCAAAAGGGGGTTGAAGACTCCATTAACCATTTCTACTATTTTTCTATTATTTTCTACATTTCTCTCTTTTCTTCATTCCCTAACCATCACCAAATTTCATCTTCATCACCATTTTAAAACTTCACATTGAAGTTATAATTTGGTAGAACTAAGCCACAATCACTCAACAATTCTTCATCAATTTCTATCTACAATTTTTATCAAGATTCATGCAATCATCAAATTTCAATAACTTTCAACAATCCAAGCAATTTCATCATCAAGATTCATCATAATTCAATCAAGTCTTTACATTCATCATCTATATTCAACCATAATCATCAAGAAAAGAAGAACAATTGGAGATAATTAAAGGAGCTTACATTGAAGTTTTACAATTTCTCTGACACTTTGCGAGCAACCTTTAACCGGAGAAAATCTCCGCTTCTTCGGTAATTCTTCATCTCTTTTCTTCCATACCATTGCCATGAATTGTTGAATGCTTCTTGATTGTTTAATTTAAGTATTAGAGCATGAAACTCACAAGAAATCTAACCAAAAACTCCAATTATTTGACAAATTTGAGCTAGAAATTGATTTTTCATTTTTACCTTTGAGAATCCACTTTAATGGGGGATGAAAGAGCATGGAAGCATGAGAAAATATGTGAGAGACATCCTTGGGGGTTGATGCCTCCGCCGTCGCAAAAGACCGACCGGCCGGCCGCCACCCAAGGTACCACCATTACCAACCCGGAGCTTCCAAGCGATTTTGCTCCCTCTTATGCGTGTTTTGATTCGTGGGGGAGAATTGGAGGTAGTGGTCTGGTTCAGAGGGCTTTCCCAGTTTTTTTAATGTTTTTTTACTTCTTTTATTACTTAGTCTACTTTTTTCTATTTACATCCAATATTTTGAGAATTTAACATGACAACCTTCATTTTAAACATAACACCCTCCATAATGATTTTTGCTAGTTGAAAATTCTTTGCATTTCTAAAATTTACGATTGTGATTATTCGGAAATTTCAAAATTATCATGTGCGATTTATTGGAAATTTCAAAATTTTCTAGGAGAATTTTCAAAAGACATTACATAAATCGGAAATTGCCAAAATTCCCGGTTGGTAGCATAATATCAAAAATTTGAAATTTCCGTAATATCATAAATTTTGCATACAATTGAAATTTTTGGTATGTTTGCAGATGAAATTTTGCTATTGTGTCGTCCTGAGCCGACAGCTTCACCTACCGGAAATTTCAAATTTTCGGTATACTTCATCTGCTGGAAATTTCAAATTTTCGGTATTTATTTTGTTGACATAACTAATAGAAATTTAAAAATTCTTATATATGGCAGAAGCCATGGTAAATTATCCGAAATTTCTGTTTTTTTATGGAAATTTCTGGTACGGAACCGTAAATGTTAAAATTTCTGGTATTTAATGGGGGCATTATAGTATAAGTGCCTAAAATGGGGTGGTGTCATGTATAAGTGTGGGGTGTCATGTTAAATCCTCAAATTTTTTTTGGGAATTTCTTTGTACACCTCTAAGGGTGGGGAAAACCTCTGAATTTCTGAAAATATCCTTCGGAAATGTATTTCTGAACGCATCTCAAGTCTAGGCGTTTCAGAGATGCATTTGCAAACACACCTAATATGACATTTTGGGATAAATTCAGACATGCACTTCCGAAAATATCCTGTTTCTAGTGAAACATTAAGTTTAAACATACATGTATATTTCCGGAAGTGCATTTCCAAAAATATATGTGTTATATCACCAGCTGCATGAACTATTTCATTGTGTTCATTTTCTTCTCAAACCCCAAAACCTCACCAAATACTCAATCAATTTTTTGTTCCCAAAAGAAGTTTCAAGTGGTTTATCATGTCAAAGAGAGCATAGAAAGCTGCAATTTAAAGTAAAAATTCCTCATTTCATCTCTAAATTCCTTGCATTGATGTTGATTTTTGAGATCAAAACTACGTCACTCCGAAAATGTATTTCTGAAATCCACCTGACCTATTTCGGAAAACATTTCCGAAACATCCCCTGTTATAGAAACAAAATTATTAAGAATTTATATGTTCTTGTATGTGTTAGATGGTACATCTGTTTACAGTGATTTCTGGTAAACAACCGCTAGTCCTCCAAACTATCAAATAATCTTAATGACTGTTATTTAATCTCTCTGGTAACTTGCAGGATCGACTAGATTGATCCTAGGATGTATTGGTCATTTGGATAATTCTCATTATAGAACTGATATTCATGGTTGGTATTTAGAATGTTGTGTAGGTGTTTAACTTACTTCGATTAATCTATTAAAGATCTAAAGGCGTGATCAAGTAAATGCGCGCGAAACTAAATTGCATGAATAAAGTTCAATTGTAAAGACATGTAAAAACTGCAGAAAAGACAAGTAAATGACTTCGAAATATAAAAGCATGTAATGTAAAAGATTCTCTGGAATGTAAAAGACTCGAAATATAAAGAAAGCGTTTAAATGCAAGAAATCAGTAAAATGACTTTAAATGAAAAAGGTATTCGAATGATAAAAACATGAAGATAAAGGCATGAAATATACAAAAGTTTCTGAAATGTAACAGATTTGAAATGGAAAGAAAACATTTAAATGTAAGACATCAGTAAAAAGACTTCGAATGAAAATACTTTTAATGTAAAGGCTTTTGAATGATATTGACATGAAGATAGAAAAAAGAAACTGGAAATGATAAAGAGTTTTATTGAATCATAAACATTTGGTGTTATCATACGTACATTGTTCGTGCATTCGTTTCCCTACCCATGTGGTATTTTGAATGTTTACTGAATTTTTGTACAATAGATATGATACACGAAATCCTAACGCTAAGACTTCTATTTATACTACTTCAACCATAACGGTCTTGCTATAAGATTCTGCCACGTTCAGAACATGCAAAGCAATGCCCCTCTCTAGCTTCCACGCGTCTTCGAATGCTCCAGCGCATATATTTTGAATTTCGAACATCCCGCTTGCGTTTGAATTTCAAATGTTTTGGCACTCTTCGTTTCGAACTCATTTCTTGGACACAGCCTTGTTACCATTTTGAGACTTCTTTGAATATATCCCTATAACTGTCACTCGAAGCTCAGAGTTTTGACATGCCCATTCGAAGCACTGCTTCTACCATTTCGAAACATGACATCTCGCTTTATTTCAATCGAAACATCCAACTTGCTTCGCTTCGAACAATATCATCAAAATCTTCAGCCAACAAAATGCCCCTTTAAAATATGTATTTCGATTCCTTTGAGAAATACTTATTTTAAACATATACGCAAGATTTTGATGCAACCTTTGAATCATCGTAACATTTATTGCATATGACTCCAGTCACGTCAATCATGACGCTTTTCAGATTCCTTAACCGCCTTGAACCATTTCACAGCATGGTGCAGTTACAAAACAATGATTATTATTTAATCACGCCTATTACCAATATTAACTTTTACACCACCTCCTTCTCAATCCAACCCACAACTACCACGTATCACAATTTTACTCAGTGGATGTTTAAACTCCCACACTATAAAAACCCATCAACTTAGTCTTTTGTTTTTCTTCCCACATTTTGAATCTTTTCTTCCTCTCTTCTCACCGAAACCCTAAAAAACTTCCAACACCCTTCAAACAATGTCTTCTTCAACATCATCTCAACTGAAAAAAGCTTCCAAAAAGAAAGGAAAGAACACAGGAACCATAATGGAAAGCAAGGTTGGCACCTATCAAGGTCAGTCTGTGCTTATTCCCCAGATGATCTCCAAAGAGAAGGAAATGCTCTACGCATCACATGTACTAATTCCCACTAACGCCGCTGGCAAGAGGTTAGCTTTAATGGGCCCTCTTACAGTCTTTGAAATCTTAAAAGACACCAGAAAAATTTTCTCTGTTTGTTATAATTTTAAACCTCCGTTTAATAAAATGGATACCCCCAAGACAGAGGAGTCTTCTGATTCGACCACCGTGGAAACTCCAATCATTCCCCCAAAGGACCCTTTTGTGCTAGATTATGTAAAGAGTAACTTTAAACCATTTCGATCCTGCCCCACCTCTGACACAGCCTACCACAACTGGTTTACTAAAGTAGAAGCCAAGAAATCCCAGCAATGGGAGGAATTAGGTACTTACAACTTGATTAAACTATCGAAACCAGGCTTTACCTATAGCCACCCATTATTATTCGCGTCCTTATATTTCTGGGACAGTACTTACAATACCTTCCATCTCCCTGGTGGAATGATTACACCCACCTTTTTTGACATAGCAGCCATTACTGGGTTATCACCAATAGGAGAAACCTACATTCCTGACAATGAAGAGCATTCGAGTATTATTGACTTCGAAGTCAAGCTAGCCAGCTTTTCAAAGTTCATCAGCCACTACCATACTGAAGGAGACAGTGTGTCGGATGTGGAACACATTGCTTTCCTTACCTTATGGTTATCAAGGTATGTCTTTTGCAGCAGGTCCCTACAGGTAGCCAGCATGTTTATTCCTCTAGCTAGAGATTTACATGAGAATCGGAGGGTGTGTTTAAGCGAACTGCTACTTGTTGATCTTTACGAAAGTCTAAGATCAGCTGTGTCGAGCTTGAAATCCCACACCTCCAAAAACATCCTGCTAGCTGGCCCCTTCTGGTTACTCCAGTTATGGCTTAATGCCATGTTTGAACCCTCACTATCAACTGCCAATACTATTGCTGAACAAGATTCGGAAATAGCGGACAGAATCATCGAAGGCACTAGGCTGCAAAGACTTACCCCAAACGATGATAAGGATGACTTCAAAGTTCTCTTCTCAAAATACATAATGATCTTCTCCAAGAGACACAAATTCGAAGAGACCATGGCGCCCTTTGCCTCAAGGACTCATGGACCATCATGGTTCACCATGGCTCTCTCAGAAGCAATCAAAAGCAAAGAAATTCAAGATATATGGAAAGCCTTTTTGCTTCCCAGATTAATCTCCTCACAAATTACTCCTGCTAAGAATCAAATCTTCCTTTTTGCTTATCAACCCAACTTCGTTTCGAGACAATTTGGCTTGTGCCAACTAATCCCTGAACCCCTATTCCAAATAGAAAGTGCCATCACCTCTGGGCGAACCTTCAAGGCAAGAGAAGCCAAACTACAACAGGAACAATACCAAGGCTTCGCCCACTTTGAACTAATATCTTTCGAACCTACACACCTCACAGCAAAGGGTTTTCTTGAATGGTGGACAAAGTTCTATCAGTCTTATATGTTCGATACCCTCACTATTCAGTAGAAACTAACTGATGCGTTCGATGTGCAGGTACAATCCAAGAAAGGTATGTTCACTCATGCCAAAGAGATTAGGGCTTTTCAAAATTATTTCGAAACTACTTATGATCCCACACACTTGGAATCCACTGTGCATCAAGCGGCTGAGACTTTGAAGGAAAAATTCAAAGAAAAAATTTCTAAGTTAAAACTTCCTTCAGGGTTGTCAACTGAGGATAAGTATAGGTTGGCATTCGAAATGCATCCACCTAAATTTCCTAGATTACCTACCTCAGAACTGGCTCTGGCTTGGTTTCCTCCATACCCTTGGTGGTTAACTTGCAAAGAAATGTTCAAATATCTTCAAAAGAAACCAAAGCCATCTGAGACTGTGACATGGGCTCGACATTGGCTCCACGATTTCCCAGGACATCTTCGCTATGACCTTTCTGCCATGTCGATTAAATCTGATCAAGGCGTAGGTGTGAATGCTTGGGAAAATCCTAAATGTTTCCCACTTTCTATATTTTTAACTTTTTCCTTAATTGTTTCGATTTTCAGCCATCAGGATAAAGACTGCTGCTTCAAAGTCAAAAGAGGGAAGCACTTCCAAAACATCTGTCGAAACCATT